AATATTACAAATTGCCAATACAGCAGCAACAAAATCAGCAGCAGGCGAGCAGTCCTTGAAAGCAAATGGATTGGTCTGGCCTGACTTGGTCAGTCAACTGGCTGCATAACTTTGTAAAATGCAACCGACAGTTATTGACCCTAAACTTGAACTAGAAACCAAATAACCAACCAAAGAGCGCAAAATTGAATTAAATCGAACCGGCTCGCTTCTGTCTGTTGATTGTTCGTTTAGCTGCTGACGATGCACAAAATTTAAATAACGAATTAACAATAGCAACAACGCCAAAAGAAACCGTTCAACGGTTTGTTGTGCACCTTTTCCGCTGGTCACACTTATGCTCTGCCTCCATTTTTGAGCAACAATGAGCCAAAAAAGCAACAATAACAACGACAACGCACCGTCATAAGCCAACCGCCGTAAGCCCTGACATTGCTCAGGGTCAGCTTTATATTTTATTACCTGTTTTGCTTATAGTTCATTTTCGTCATTAATATTATGCTTTGTGCTGGTTTTTCTTACAATTGTTATTGTTGTTTGCTGGCTTGGCCCGTTGGTTGGTTCGTTGGTTCGTTGGACGGTTGGTCCGTTGGTTTCTTTTTTCTCACGGATTTGTAGATAGCGGCAAAACGTGAACTTTTTGCGGAAAACGCGCGTCGCCATCGCCATCGACGTCGTCATCGCAATCACAATCACAATCATTGCCCTCCTCTAAAATCGGCCAGTTGTATAGCCGCCGGAATCAAACTGCCGCCCCACCTGACACGTGCAAGAACACAAAAACCCAGTTGTGCTTTAACCAAAAGAAATGTTTTTGGCTAAGAATAAATGATTATACGAGTATGTAAAAGCTGGGAAAAAGAACGAGCAGAGATTTATTTATGGCTCATTATTAGCATTTGGTTTTTAAGATTGTGCGGGCAAATTGCAGAAGGTCGATTCGTTTTTATTTTTTACTTTTTTTCATTCTTTTTCTTGCTTGTTTTTTATATTAGCTGCTTGTAACCGGCTTTTTTGCGTTGTAATTTGACGTTAATGTGAATTTTTTTTCTTTTTATTTTTTTTGCAACCATTGTAGTTTTTTGTTGATTGATTTTTGGCACACAGCCAAGCAAAATAACAAACGGATGGATTGTATTCTCACAACATAGAACAAAGTCTTTATACGCATGGTTAGCGCTTCGTTTCATTTGCTAGAATGGTTTCAGAAACTGGCCAATTCATTATGTGAGTGCCAAAGTTTCTGATAAGTAAGTAGTATATACTTGTACATAGTATTTGCAGTGAACAAAGTTTTTGGCCCTCTTGTTTTAAATACCACTAATTTGGCATCAATTAAGCGTAAGTACCACGTAAAGTACACAGAAAGGAAAACAATTAAGGTGATGTCAATAAAAAGTGAAACTGCAATTAAACTTGGTAGAGTTTTGTAGCAGCAACGTAAATCAAGCGGCTAATTAATGACATTCAGTAGCGCACGCTTACACATACACTCCAGCATATGTATGTTTACATTGATTCGCACATACACACACGCACATGCAAATAGAGAAACTCAAACTGCACACACCGTAATTGCCGCAAGCGCCACAAAAATGGTAGCCACTTAATACTCATATAATCAATGTAATTAATTCGCATTAATAAAAATACCCACAGGCACACTTACTCATTTCATATTCATGTGTTTTCCAAAAGAGAAAAACTCTGTAGGAAGATTCATACCATATTATATTTCTGCCACACCGAATTTTTCCCTATGGGCATTTTTTTAATTATTTCACTTTAATTTCGGCTTAAATAAGTAAATGTTTAAGCAACGAATAAATTAATGAATATACAATTAAATTTTGTTTACTTAAAGTGGAAATCATTACAAATACAAATGCAAACTATAAGTATACTTGTAAGGTAAGAAAGCAGAAGAAAAACAATCAATTATAATGTTTAATTTCGACACCAATTCATTGTGTTAGTTCCACATTTAAGCACATACCTTATAGATCTCGTTATAAGAGACTTTAGAAGCTTTCTCAATCAAAATATCGTTCCCAAATTTAGTTGAGAAGCATTATTTACCAAATACAAGTATATGCTATTATATCTAATTTACTTTTGAGCTGTTTTCATATTTATGTTTGTTTTTGTTTTGTTTCTGAACAGTATTACAACTTTGAATTTTCTGTCATGTAGAAAACAAAATAAAATTACGTTATTAAATATCTAATTTGTTAAATGAAAGCACATAAACACACAACATTCAGCTGCTCTTTAAATATGCTAATAAGTATACGGCTAATTAACTTGTTGATTGAAAGCGGAAAATTTAAATAAATGAAGTCAAGTGTACTTTATAAATACTATAATGTTATTCATACTATATGTATATGCACATAAGTATGCCTATAAATTGGAAGCAATCGTTTTTGGTTCCAGACTGCACTGCTATTGTATGCTCTTCCAACTGCACGCCAAATCTTGATAGTAGACCAAATAGTAAGAACATTTTTGATTTGTTGTAAACGCGCCACACTTAAAATATGTATGTAATGGAAGCAGCAATTCTTCCTACAATCTACATTAGTACCCACAATATCTTATAGATCACAATATTTTACGAATACTGTAAGTCTGGGAAACTCTTATAGTATATTCGCAAAGAGTATGATGTGCACGATTCGTTCAGCTTGCAGCAGATCAGACGCAGTGGGCGCTGAATGAATGTGCATATTTAAATACCTTTGTGAAAAAGTTGTAGCGCAAAACATAAGGAGTGCATTTATTTAGTGTTTAATATGCCGTGTGTGCAAAAATAAATGTAAGCAAAAGTCGTGGGGCATGAAGCTGTGCGATAAAAGTTACATATTTAAAAATGGGAATTGCAATTCGATTTAATTAAACAGCTGTCATTCTATACTACTTTTACGGTTCTCGATGAGCCATGGGCGTTGCAACATTGAGGTAGAACAGTAAATACTCGTTTATAGATGTGCATATGTCTGTGTATGTGTTAATGTTTCTTAAAAGTTAATTAAAACAGCGGGCAGTAAGCTGTGATGCACTTGACGCGGCTACTGGGACCGTCCCGAGTTGTATATGTCCAAGTAGAGGGAGTATGCAACCAGTTTACTGTTCCACTGAGTGGTTTTAGAAAAATCCAAGGCTGTTCATTTAGTCATAAGACAATACTAATACGTTCCGATGCTTGCATTGCTACTAAGTACTAAGTAGTACTTATCTAATTGGCACACCCGAGCGTTCGCCCAAATTCCACGCACAGTTTACTTTAATAAATAATGAAATTGTTGTTGCTGTTCTTCCTATTGCTGTTGTGGCAGTCAACGCCGTAGCTGAGCGTCGTCTAATTGGCTGTCATTTTTACTTAGCGAGCTCAGTTTTTGCCCCTTGCTTCCCTTCAACCAAGAAGCTATTTACTTGTACGTAGCCATGGCTGAGGCTGCTCTCAGCGCACTCTACGTCATTCCATTTGCTGCACTGATTGTTTGCTATTAGCCTAATTGTACTCTGAGCGCGGCCGTGCTCATTAATAATGACAAATGACACAGGCAAATAAATAAATGCGTTGACTAAAAAGAATAATGCTTTTATTTAAATCATGCCACCCCAGTTGGGAGCCAATTGTCGGTTGTTTCTAGTCGCCTTGGCAGCAAATCGATGGCACGTGTACTGACCAACTGCACAACGGCTAAAACGTGTATGCTAATACTTCTCACACAATACTATATTTATTCAAGTGCATTGCAAGTTAGAACAATTCAAATATTTGTGCATACAATGCTTCAAGCGGAGAAGCAAACACTACATAAAACAGTTAAGCTCGACTACTACATATACTTATAGTATGTATGTACCCAGTGGCAGTGGCTGCTAAGGCAAGTATTCAGAATGGATTACGTGACTCAGCGCACAGGTGAGCGATCGAGAATGGCGCGCCTGCGCACCAGCTTTCCAAAAATGTGGTCTGATTTGCATGCGTCGCAAGTACTGACGCATTCGTTTCTCGGATCATTGATACACTTGCCAAAAAAAGAAACAGTAAGTAAAAAATTTCCGTCCTGTGGCATGACATGTTTAATTTTACTTCGTGCTCAATCAGTGGTGATCCAAATATATTCATCGAGTTCCAATTTACATATAACTAAGTAAAGAAACAACCTAACGATGCAACGATATTAAAATGTCCCATATTCTTCATAAATTATTCATTCGTATTCAGTTGTACAAGTATATGTGAATTCGAAATCAGCATAGAAGTGAGATATGTGTATGAGTTTTTACTTTCATTGCGACTATATAACGTTGTTACGTAACTAGCATTCATATTCTTAATCAGAAGACAAAACGATTACTCAAACCTTTTTAAATAGTAGTGCTTTCTCGCTAACAAATTCCACAGAATTTTAATATATCGTTTTTGTGTTTTTGTTTGGTTTTGCCAAGCAAACAAAAATGCAAATGAATTTAAAAGGCGCTTGCTATACGCGTTCTTTTTATGGCCTATCTGTTTTTTATAGGCACAACTAATTCAGTTGATACACAAATAAATCTGAAGCCACATATACTTAGTGCGTAGTGCCTTACAGCAATCGTTACAAGAATTAAGTAACTCCTAATTGAATGTTTTTCTGTCCAACTTGTTACGCATTTCTAATCTTTTATTATTTAAGTAGGGTCAGTTTTTTACAACTCGTCTATAACTAAAGTTGTTTTCGTGTTTACATATTTGTGGTTGTGTAAAGTGCTTAATTACAGTTGAGGCTTGACCTTAGTTTATTTCGTTACCGGGAGCTAATGGCACGTCCCCAAGCGATAACTAAATGACTGTCAATTCATGAGAATAGAAGAGGAGGTAATAAGCCAAGTGTTAAAACCATTGTGGTCTACAGAGCAATACAAATTAAACAATTAGGGGAGAGCATTAAAGAAATTAAACATGCATTACAATTCCCACGCTAATAAATTAACAATTATTAAATTACCTTATCCAGTTGACTGCGTCTCTCAATCATGTTTACAATTTATGAATATTTATATAATTTATTTGATGTTACAATTTTTTTCTGCACTTCTAGGAAATCTCTTTTTTCTCGTTTCACAATAACTTTTCCGTTGTTGTGATATTCGTATACAAACAACTTTTTGTATTTCTATTTGCGCAACGTATGTTTGCTCTTTATGAAATTTTGCGGTAATTGCATTAGCAATAGGGGGAAAAAACTTTACGATTTTATCACTTGTTTTTCAATCGAAGTTTCACACTCACAAATTGAAATTGTATAGAAAAAGTTTTGTAGGAAATACGAGTGAAGCAGATTTCAGCAACGACCGCCTCGTTTTGTATGAAATTCGCAACTGAATGCTTGAATGTATCTTACAGATACTCAAATAAGCCCGGCTCGCAGTCATGCCAAGCCAAGCCAAGTCAAGTCAAGTGAAGCCGGCAACTTGAGCTGTCTGTTGCTCACTCGCTGTTTGCTGCTTGCCTGCTTGGCTGGTTTTTGGCGCTTAACGTGTTTGCTTTAGACAACAACAACAGCAACAACAACAAAAGCAACGGCGCTGTATATACATACATAGATATAGACAAAAGTATGGAAAGTGCGGGCCTGGCGGCAGATACAAAATAGTTGTCGCTCGTACTTAGCTCAGCTGTTCGCTGTTCACTACTCGTTCAACGCTTTGCGCGTGCGCATTCGAATCAGACTTATCGCAACAGACCCACGAACGACGATAATTCTACTTGGCAACGAATGGAAGCCACTTGAGGTATTGTTTCATTGCCCGCTGGCTGGTGTGAAAAGGCAACGCATGACTGAATGCCGAGCGCGTTGGTTAGTTTGTCGCTTTTTCTTGCTTCTTCGGCAACGAATTTGAACTGTGTAACCACAAATCGATCGCAGTCGATCAATAGACACTATATACTTGCAACTTTTGCGGCCAGCGTTGATTTGGAAATGTGCAACTTTCTTTTCCGCAAAAAAATCTATGAGTATATGTAAAAATGTTCATGTGTGTTGCAATATGTTTGAGGTTGCACATTTGGTAAATAATTATCAACTTTCACTAGCGGTCGACTAGGTAGCAAATTAGGTGCAAATTTTCACACTAAAGCGACAAACAAAGTTCGACCACTCATTTCAAAGCTACAGCAACATAGGCGGGCTAAAAAGTAATCGTATAACGAACCAGTATTATGTTACTACCCCTTTCCATCAGCAAATTTAACGAAATTGCGTAAAATATATAATCTTTCTATTTCGAGAATATAAAACTCGATCAAAGCTGAATACATTTTGGGACAACTGAATTAAAGCGCTTACTGGCCAGAGGTTAGGAATTGTTTTGTAAATATTTGGACAATGACGATGAAAAATTTAAAAGTTTTAGAGGGCACGAGGGAATGTATAAAGGACGATATTTACGCGGATGTTATTGTCAAACAAGGAAACCACTTTACCGATTTTTACGCTTATATCGAAACAGTCAGACTAATACAGTAAAAACATTATACCACCGTCTTTTCCATTTATCAAGACTATTTTGAAGATCTACACTAATCGTCCAATGGATTAATTGAATTGAGCTCAATTCAAAACTACTTTTCAGCCAGCCTTCGTTTGGCGAATTTTAGTTTGTTTGACTTGATCAGGTAAGCAAATTGTTACGTATGCCTAACTATGTTTGCACGGCCCATGCCCACACAGCATCATAGTCAAAACATTTGTCACTGTCACACACTATCGAGTATACGCAACGTGCGCCAAGTAAATTAAATTAAAAACCTATGTAAATGACAAATATTGCTACAACTATTTTAACTTTACCTGTTTGCAGTAGGTTCACGGTTGATTTGTATACAGCAATTATGAAATCGATTTTTATATTTGTCCAGTTTTTTGTGTTTGGAACTTTCAATTGTTTCACGTTTTTTGTTTTAGTGACTTGTTCGCCTTTCTAGGGATTTTTTAAAACTGCTGTGTGCAGGCATGATTCCATAGTTTTATAATGTATGGACAATCGAAGCAGTCGATTAGAATAATTCAAAACATTTTCACGCTAGTTGGGTTGTGATTGCTTTGTCAGCAAACGAAAATAAACGAGTGTGAATTAGAGCGTAAATGTTTACCAGAATCTGCACAGAAAACATTATGTCGGTATTAATTAAAGCATACCGAAAATATGCACCAACTTAAATTGAATAAGTAAGGTATTTTCTTGGCAACAGAGCAAGAAAATCAGCATTGGGCGAAATCAAATTTGAGTTTAATTCACAGCTAGCAACAATTCAATAAATTTGTATTGGAGCTGCGTGAGTACTCACTCGTATGTGTCTGCTCTGAAATCATCGGACGAGGACAATAATTGGTCAAATGTGTACGTGCTTCTATTTTCAAACCGAAAGAAGAGCGTCATAGTCCCAAAAACAGACCGTTGGCTGAACAAAAACACTTATATATGCTGGCCAATGCGGAAAACGGAAATGTTTTCGCTTCGGCTATAGGCTAAAGGAATGTTTGAATAAATGAATGCTTTCCTTGGCATTAAATTGCAGACGCAGATGAATTTGAATGAAGTTGTAGGTGTGTGGCATTCTTTTAACCAGCTGCTTTAGTGTAGGCGTGCCAATATCCAGACTTGCAGAGGTTCACGTGCTGGAGTATATCGCTGTGAACCCATTTGCCAACTCAATTATGGTCACTTGTGTGTTAACCACAATAGGCAAGGCATTTCAATCTAGGTAGAATGCAGTGAGCAGGATATATGTGGATGTTTCATAGAAAACAGTAAACAAAATACATTTTCGGCAAGCGGAAATTATGTGAATTTCTTTTCCCCTAAAGAGAGGAAAGATTGGACACGTTATCCACAGCTTAGCTTTCAAGCAGCAGCTTGTCAGCATCAGGTGCAGCTTCAGCTACAAGATAAGGATGCTTCCTATTCCACTTATGGCTTGAATATATGCTGTACAGTTTTTTCATCACGTGCATGTTGTAACTATTATTGCAATTTTGTTCGTAATTTCCGCCAATAGTTGGGAACATCCGCGAAATAAAATGCGACATGTGAATCGCACAATGTGTTGGGACTATCAAAAATTGAAACTTTTCATACGCCCCTCGCCTTTTTTATTACTGTCAACAAGAGATGAGAAATATAGTATTATTATGTTCTTCCTCTCGCTTTTACTAAGCTCATCTGATCGTGACATTTAATGATCGCAAAATTGCTTTTAAATTGCTTTGTGGTTTGACATTCAAGTAATTTTTGTGCTTATCTATTGGGGTCGCAATATTTGTAATTACATACGCCAAGGTCAAAAACACATTTAAAATAGCGCAATTTGTGTCAATATGCTGTACTTCTATTGCCAATTTAATACTCCCAACAATGTGTCACATCCAAAAATACTATTTGTCTTCAATACAAGTAAGTGTATGCAAATTTATTTTCTTGATTTTGGTCGACATTCCAGGATACAACATATTAATTTATAGGCATTTATACTTGTAAGTATAAACTTAGATTTATTTTTTTAGATGACTATTTTGAGGCTGAAAAGGTATTTGAAATTGGTAGATACTAGGACATTTGCGGGAGAAAATACATAATTTAAGTATAAAGTTATTTTAAATCATTTGAATACGAGAGCTAATTTTTCTATTTTCGACCAAAAAAACAACAACACATATTTTATTGCAAACGGTTTTTTTTGTGTTTTAAAATGTTCTCCATGTAGATCAATATACTTTTGGAAGCTGTATGGGATAGGTATATGAAACTTACACTAACACGGAAAGATCTCTAGACTTCTTAGGGAACTTTTGCAGATAAATGGGATAGGTATATGAAATTTACACTAACACTAAGTCTATAGACCTCCCTCTCGGTACAGTCACAAGGATCTATTATCGCAAGGCTTCTTCTGGAAGAATAAACATTTTTGTATTCTTGGTAAAAATTCGATTTACATAATAAGCACTAAAATTTTATATATCTACCCTTTCTGAAAATTCTTATCATCATTGCACAGATAGTATTAAATGGAAAAATTAATTTCCAATAACTTTGCTATATGGAAACATATTATTAGGTAATATCAATGAACCGGCATTTACACTCAGCTGCCATTTCATATAATTATAACATAATAAATAAATGATGGCCCTTTTCGTCAGTTAAAGAAATATACAGCATTATGTTCAAGAAAAATTGTTTTGGTAATCTTTTTGTTTTTAAATTGAAATTTCAACTAAATGGGAACAGCGCTTGCCCTGAAATAAAATCACTCCGTCTAGAAATTGCTTAATTATTTGCAAAATTGTTATTCACACATCATTACTCAGGCATAAATTCTGTATGGTCATAAACTTTTTGGTTAGCACTTGTCCGTTAGAGAAATTTGAAATGGTACAACATGCATGAGAAAATATAACAAAAATGTTAAATAAAAGTACTTCTCATGATTGCTACAAACTGCATTTTTGCATGCCAATTGAGCAGCCGCAATGGAATAACTGTATCTCGCTTTCCTTTCTTTGCCACACACTAACGATATATTTCGAGCTGAAATCGAGCAAAAATAGTGCAGGTTTGGGCAGATTATGTGGTTGGAGCCACATGTAAAACTTTGCGCTACATTGAACAGCACACAAAAACGCTTGGTAAATAAAAAAGAAATGTAGAGAAACAGTGCTCATACAACATATATAGTTCTGAGCCATGAATTATACTAATATGTGTGTTTGTGTGTGTGTGTGTGTGTGTGTGTGTGTGCGAGTATGCTATGTGAAAGAGGCTGATGGTGGTGCAATGAAAATAAATGCTGTGAGATATTTGTAAGTGTACAACATTATTCGTTTTCTTTTATTGTTCATTTGAGCATGCGTAAATAAATATAGCAAATTGATATAGAAATACATTTAAGTGTTTGCTTTATTTCAAACAGCAAATAAATTGTTAGTAGCAACCAAAAGTAAACGGATTAGATGCCATGTATGGTGAAAATTTAGTGTTGCAAGCTTTTTGGCTGAAGTGAGCTGTGTTGCCAGCTAAGTTTTATTTTTGTGGTCAAAAGTATGCTTCACTTAATATTAATATAAATATTAAATTAATACTAATATATACC